CCCCCCCCCCCCCCCCCCTCCTCCCGGGGTGCACTCGGGCTTTGCTGCCCCCCCCCTCGGGGCTCACTTGGGCTCTGCTGTCCCCCGTGCGCTGCTGCTCTCTCTGGGATCCCCGCTGCATGAGGGGGAATGAGCTCCCTTCCCCCCCCCGGGGAACAAGACCATGATCCTTGGAGGCTTTCCCTGCTGCAGCAGGTTGCCAAGCTAGGTAAGCATCCCCCTCGCTCACTCCTCTCCTCCCACCAAGACCCGGCATTCTCAGCTTGGTCTGACACCCTTCCCCACCGTGCGCTGCTGCTCTCTCTGGGATCCCCGCTGCATGAGGGGGAATGAGCTCCCTTCCCCCCCCCGGGGAACAAGACCATGATCCTTGGAGGCTTTCCCTGCTGCAGCAGGTTGCCAAGCTAGGTAAGCATCCCCCTCGCTCACTCCTCTCCTCCCACCAAGACCCGGCATTCTCAGCTTGGTCTGACACCCTTCCCCAAGACTCCCTCCTGGTCAGACACCCTGCTGCATGTCCCTTCTTGTACCCTCCCTCCTCGCCAGACACTGCCCCAAGCTCTCTCCTGTACCCTTCCTCCTGGCCAGGACATTGTGTATAAATCGCAAAGAAGATCTGCAAACATCATGAAGTATTTTCCAACCACAAATGACAACAATAACTGGATTTGAAATCCATTAAGTATAACAGAAAAGCCAGTCAGTTTTTCTATGTAAGATTATGAAAACCTAATCGAAGTCACTTCAGATGGCTAATTAATACAAAAATTTAAAGAAGTTTCTCTAATTACACTTTGGAGTGGCTTGTGTCAAGAATATTTAGCTTTATCAAGATGTGCAGATTGTCAATTGTTACCCTTTGTCAGCACGTACTTTTGCGAAACTGGGTTCTCAAATTATGCAGCAACAAAAACGAAATACAGAAATCAACTGAATTCCACGCCAGATATGCGAATCCAACTTTCTAATATTAAACCAAATATAAAAAGAATTTGCCAAGAAAAGAAGAAAACCAACTCTTCACATTGAAAACTGCCAATATAATTCATATTAGTTTTTGAGCTTTATTTTTTGTACACATTAAATGTGATTTTTGTTTTTAAATATGTGCAATTAAACTAAATGTTGATCTCATGACCTTGTTTAGCATTTGTTTATTATTATCCTTACTTATTTGTGGTCTATTTTTTCAGCTTCATATATCAGACTGTTATTAGGGGTTCCTCGAAATTCTTTTGAGTTTAAAAGGGTTCCATGGCCAAATAAAATTGAGAAACACTGATCTCTACTATAAAATAGTCTTTGCTTTGATAAGGAATTTCTTATCATTGCTTATTGTTGCCTGTCTAAGTATGAAAAATTGTAGTAATCTTTCAGTTCAGAAGTATTGCGACTAACACACTTATAGGTGAGGCCCATAGTCATCTACCCATCTTATTCCAAAATAAGGATGTAAAATCCTGTGTAATTGGTTATCTGATTGAATTTAATACTTAACCAGTTAACCGATTAAAAGAGGAAAGTTGGGGGCTGCTTTGGCTGTCTTGGAACAGTTTCTTGTCCATGGCAGACCCCGTAGAGTTGGAACCAATAAACCTCACCCATTAAGAATCAGGCTTACACGTTAACCATTCACCTCCAACTATTTCAATTTCATCTCCTGGTTGAGCAGCCCAGTAACACAAACTAGAATGCAGGATTTGATCATGTATGTAAGTTTCATGCTCTTCCTCATACCTTTGCCAGTTTTGTTGTGAGCTGGTTGAAAATTAAGGTTTTCATAAGATTCCTATTCTGAAGTGGTCAGTAACTGAAGTCTTGTAAAATGTGCATCCACTGCTGGCTCACAAGCATCACTTTTCTCCTGTGGAAATAATTTAAAAAAAAAAAAACCTAATATAGGGGAAGTCACATTTTGACTGGCATTCTTTTTAGTAATATCCCTTTAAATGCTTTTTGCGCCATATGGAGAAAATGTGTAGATTTTGCAGTTGGAGGAGCGGATGATTTTTAGCAGAGAAGTTATTGTATTCTTATGACCCATATGTAGGTTGCAAATGCACGAAAATAAAGTCTGTATCAAGATTCATACAAAGTAGTAAAGACAAAACAGCTATTGGTTAGATTTTAAAATAATATATTTTTCAGAAAACATCTTAAATTATTTTTGTTTTAGACACTCTTACACGAAATGATTCATGCACTGTTGTTTGTCACTAATAATGACAAAGATCGTGAATCCCATGGGCCAGAGTTTTGCAAACACATGCGTCGCATCAATCGCCTGACTGGAGCCAATGTTACAGTAAGTGGTTTTTACTTGACAAAATACAATGTAGACCACTTAAACTATATTCTACTGAAGTATTATGTCAAATACAGTATGATAAAAATATTGACATATATTTTGATAACCAGTCCATAGCTGGTAGGGGAAGCTTTGGATAGAGAGATTTGCACCAACTACTCTAATTATAAGGTGGCAGTCGGGGAAAATCTGGTCGAGAAAAGTACAGCAGAATCTGTTTGGGAATATATAACTTTCTCTGGCTCAACTGTGGATGAATATTTGTAAGTGCTTTTTATGAACACTTAATGAAAAAAGATCACAGCTTAAAGATACAATGTGAAAATTAAAAATCCAGTTTGCTTTTAAGTCTTCTTTAATTAGATAGGCTGTTGGGTTAATTATATATTTTGGATCTTAAAACTCATCTATGTTGTTTTGAGCTTTGAATAAAACTTCAGTTTACATTCTTATTATGGTGTTTTCCATAATTTATTGATTTTTTTTCCCCCTTCAGTCTTAAGTGCAGATTATAGCCTCATGAGGGAGATAAGCATAAATTTATCCTTGCTTGATAGCTCTCAGTGCAAAGAGTGCCAGTCAATATTAATGGTTATTGGTATTCAAGATTGTGCTGTCTATATATCAGGTTTTTTATTTTTCAAGGGAGGGGAGCAAATTATGTTTGTTTTGAAAGTGGTTTCTATGGGTACATCTACATTTGCTCCCTAGTTCAGACTAGGGATGCAAATGTAGGCAACCGAAGTTGCTAATGAAGCGGGGATTTAAATATCCCGCACTTCATTAGCAAGATCTCGCCTGGTGTGCTCGTCCGAATCACAGCTGATTCAAACCAGGAAGTGCGTGCCGGGACGTGGTAGTTCGAACCAAAGCCCTTGGTTAGAACTAACATTACTCCTCAAAAAATGGCGCACACTTCCTGGTTCGAATCAGCTGTGATTCGGACGAGCACACCAGGCGAGATCTTGCTAATGAAGTGCGGGATATTTAAATCCCCGCTTCATTAGCAACTTCGGTTGCCTACATTTGCATCCCTAGTCCGAACTAGGGAGCAAATGTAGATGTACCCTATGCATACAATAGGTTAAGTCTTCTAGCAGCTAAACCCTGTACTGTTTTCCTTCTGGTTCTCTGTGGATTTTCCCTATGAGTAGCAGCTGTAAGTAGTTAAAGAATGCTAACACACCTCAAATGTGTAAAGATGGAATAAATGTATTGTTTTTGGTTTATACTTAGATCTACCACGACTTTCATGATGAGGTGGATTCATATCGCCAGCACTGGTGGCGATGTAATGGCCCTTGTCAGACTCGAAAACCTTATTTTGGATATGTGAAACGTGCAATGAATAGGGCGCCCTCTGCACAAGACTTCTGGTGGTCTGACCACCAACAGACCTGTGGAGGCACATTCTCAAAAGTGAAGGAGCCCGAGAACTATTCTAAAAAAAGCAAGGAGAAAACTCAACTCACAAAGCTTTCAAACTCTGCACCATCTGATGACAAAGGTATGTAACTCTCTTTTTCCTCTTCATATTCACTCCTGCCCTATACAATATGCCAAATGCAAATAAATTAAATGCTGGAAAGATTAGTATTAAAGTTTTATGTAACACTGGATTTGATTCACTTTTTTAAAAAATGCTGGTATAGCTTTAAAGTTATAGCATAGTTAGACCTATGCAGCAATATGTAGACATCAGTGTTTTTGCTCTAAAAATATGGACGGACCAAATATGAATGGACCAAATAAATAAAACTGAGATTCCTGGATTTACCTGTGATCTAGCTTACTCTTTGGCCAAGTCAGTGTTACCACAGGCCATCAATCTAAGTAACGCATCTTCAGTTATGTGACTAATGTAGCTGAAGTGGACATACATTTACCATAGTATCTTCACTGCATTAAGTCAACAGCTGACACTCTCCTGTCAACTCCCCTCGCTATTCTCATTCTAGTGGAGTAACTGTGTTGACGTGAGAGTGCTTGGTGGTCGATTTATTGCATCTATGCTAGACACATTAAATTGATCCCTGCTGGATTAATTACTTCCTGTCAATCCAGCAAGCATCGAAGACATGCCCTTAGCAAATCCTAATTATAATCATGGTGCCCAGCCATTCAGAGAGACATAGCTATGACAGTCATTCCATCAGTATTCAGTTTTCTGCTTAAAATTCTGGGATAAAAGGAGTTATGCAACCATGTCCCTGTGTATTCCAAGGCCACAGAACTTGCAGCAGAATCTTCACCTACACAGTAGAGGCAAAATGGTTCTATTATTGTTGTGAGGAGAGCCTGCTAAGTAGTATTATCTATCTGAATTGGTAACCAGCCAGAAATAATATGAATTAACCACCTTAATTATCTCAGTGGCTTGCTAATTCCTGTAGCCTGAAAATGAGTGTAATATGTTAATATTCACCGCTAAAATGGAAATAATGAGCTAATATGATTAACCTACAATCCCCCACCCCTTCCTCCAGCTGCTAAGTGGTACAACTGTCCCCTTTCCAACTTCAAGAATCTTTAATATTTTCTCATCAGCCCCACATGTGACTACGCATGTAAGCGACTAATCGACTTATCTGATAAGCATATGCTTATCGGATAGTCAATTAGTGACTCGACTAGTCAATTTCCTGCCCCCTTGCTACCTCTATCAGAGAAAGGCAGCGGGAGGTGAGGAGGGAGGGAGCAGGAGCCAGCTTGTAAGCTGGTTTTGTCCCCCCACACCCTTACCATCTCTGTGGCTGGGGCAGGAGAGGTAGAGGCATAGTGGAGGACCAGGCATGACCGAGGAATCAGCTGCTGCGCCTGTGCTTTTTAAATGTATTAAGAGCCTATTGGCTCTTAATACGTTTAAAAGGCAGAGCTGCAGTGGGGTTAGCTCCGAGCACTGGGAGCTAATCTGCTGCGACTCTGCAGTTCCCCCCCTTTATCAACTAATCGACTAGTCAATGGAAATTCCATCGACTAGTCGATTAGCTGATTAACACCATTTAACATCCCTACATGTGACGGCCTCTGAAGTCTTCATCGGTATGAGAATGAACAATATATTAACCTGAGAGATAGTGACAGCATAACATTGAATACAAAAACCAGGAAGGGTATTGTATTGGTCTTATATATTTCCTAGTTAGTTCAATTTAATTTAAAAACTCCTTTTTATTGAAGCTGCTGCAAAAATTCTTGTGTGCCACGCCAGAAGTGTCAGTATTTAGGGGAACTTAAAACACAACTTAGCTCTAGCCTGATGTGGAATAATTGAAGCTGGTATTCAAGTGCTATTTTAATATTAAACAGCAAGTTAAGACTTGATAGTGAGCAAATGTAGTAGATGGAGAACAAAGATACTAATCACTCATCTTTTGCAGGGAGGAAACATGGAGGTGATATACGAACCCTAATCCCATTTAGTGGAAAAGGATATCAGCTTGGAGGAGCGAGCCCTTGGTCATCTGAGAGACATGCAAGTTCCAATAACAGTATTAAGGGCAGAGAAATACCCAGTCCTCAACGTTATTCAGAAGCTGGAACTGCAAGACCAATTCCTAAAAATGAACTAAAATTTGAGTCAAACAGATTGCATTCCAGCATTTCCCGTCCAGTTTTTACTCCTAGCACCAACCATAAAAACAGCTTTGCTTTGAACCAGAAGTTTCCTAAAATATCTGTCGCTAATACAAAAGCTTACAGGAATGTTGATGGGTCACCTATTAAAATCCCTCCTGTTAGTGGAGGAAAATTGAACACAAGTCCTCCAGATGCTAAGTGTCATTTTTCATCTTTTAATGGAACACCAAAACGAATTTGCTTTGAACAACCTGAGACAACTGTCAGAGCCAGGGTTTCATCCCAGGGAAATAGTAGCTTTGAAAGTACTGGTAAACCACAGAAACGGCCAAAAATGGAAGACAAATCTGCCTTTGCAAACTACTTTATAAAGAGAGAGCGTGCTGATAACACTCATGGAACTAGCACTCCTGTAAAAAGCAATGCTGAACCAACGGTGTCCTCTGAAAGTTGTAGTTCTGCTGTTAGTCAGAATAAAAAAGTTAACTGTCCTGTTTGCCAGACTGAGGTTTTGGAGACCAACGTAAATGAGCACTTAGATTCTTGTCTGACATAACCTTTGAAACGCAATTTCACAATTAAGCGCCAAGAATTATTTCTTCCAATTACGTTGCTCAGGGTTTATCCAACTATGACTGTTATTGTGTATCTTTATACTGCTCTGTGTTGTCCAAACTGGAAACTTTTCTATATATGTAAGAATATAGAGGCTGAATTTCAGTATGAAGATGAGGGCAGTTATGGTGCATATATTTTTTGGAATTGCATAAAGATATGATTATGGGCACACTCATGGTGTGTATGTCCCAAAGAGCCTAAGGGTATAGGTACACTACAGCACCCACATTAACATATATACATTCTGGCGCAGGCAACAGAAAGAAGAGTTCTGCTGGTGTTGGAACACTACCTCCCTGAATAAGTTTAGATGTACCAACAGAAGTCATCTTCTGTCTGTATTGTTCTGGTCCATGCTAGTAGTGTAGTTGGCATAAATGTGTCCCAAGGAGATGTGGCTTTTTCTACACCCTAATCAACATAACTATGTTGATATAAATTTTAAGTGTAGTAGATCAGGCCTGATTTTAAACTTGATTTTTAGTAAATGTAGTTATTGTTGGGCTACATTTTTCTGCAAAACTAAGTATTACCATGGAAGGAGTCATACTTACTAGATTCTGAAATCTTAGATAAATTCTAAAATCAATTTAACATTTTTAACCATGCAACTTTTTTGACTTTTTGTTCCTCTTCAATCCCCAAAATGCTATTTAACTTGTCCACCCTTTAATTCTAATCTGTCCCTTTCCACATTATACACTGATACCTTCTTCTCTATTTACCTCAATGAAAATGTGTTAAATAGTGGACACTTTTTATATTGGCATAATACCAATATTGTGTTGAAGCCACTGCTACTCATTCTCCAGAAATCAGTATCACACACATTTTTTTTAAAGGGCAAATATGAGTAAGGGTGGGATTAAAATCAAATTATGCCTGTGTCCACACTGAAAGCTAGGAGTGTGATTTGCCCTGCTTATGTACACACATGCACTCTAGCTCTCATCAATACATACCTACTAGTTTCAGGTGGGTATGCAGTTTGGCTCAGCCATATCTGTACTGCTGCTATTACTGCAGCTGCATTGCTATTTATATTTGCACTACCTGGATGAGAGTGCAAGTACATATACACAACCAGTGGACTCATACCTCTAGCTGGCAATGTAGACATAGTTGAAGTCTTCATCAAAAACTGGGGGCAGCTTAGTTGTAAAAAAAAAAAAAAATACTGTAACAGTCTATTTAGTGTAATAAAAGTAAAAGCATTGGGTAGAAAATTAACACTGCTTGATGCATTTTGTTGGAGCATTAGGCTACAGATTTTAAGGGCCTATTAGAGGTACATATTGGCTTTTGAAGTATTTGTCTTTAAGAGGGACTGGAACAGGAGCTGTGGAACTTAAACATCCTTATAGTGTTAATGCATATGTTGGTTGATTTTTGTTTGACCACTTTGATGTATTTTAATGTGTGTGCAGTAACAGCTAGGTGATCGTTCAACAATCTCCACTTTTTTTCCTTCTCTCTCTCGCAGTGGCCTTGCTGCATATATTGACGTTTCAGTGGCTTTCACACTTTCCGCGCAGAATGCATATTTCTGTGTATTTGAGCTCTAAATGGCTAAAACCACCAAAAGTGAAAATAATGTGAGTACTGCCACAGAATTCTATCTGAAGGCCTGACTTTAACTACAGATTTCCAGTTGACTTTACATTTCAGAAAGGCATCAGATTATCATCAGTGGCAGAGCTTTGCTTTGCTTCCTAACCAGCCTAATAGATAGCTTCGGTCCGAATGAATATACTAACGGCATTCTGTTGCACATTATGAATACCAGGTAAGACGTATAAAGCCTACTGAAATGTTTATGGTTCTATTGGTGCACTAAAGGTATTTACCTGACTGGTTTGGAGGTGTTTTGAACAATGCTTTTGTTGTTAAAACTAGCTTTCTAAATGAAGATTTTATATACTAGGTTGCTTTTTGTACTGCTGGATGGCACACGGGATGATTATGGTGCAGACAAAAGTATAAATACAAGTTGCCTTGTTATAAATGTAATATAGTTTACAGTTGACTTCCTTTGAGATGAGGCATAAACAGATGAGACAATTATGGAATTTGACCAATGCTAACTAATATCTGGTTTCAAAATATAAGAAAAAATATGAATAGAATGTACCTATTTTTGTAGAAACTGCATTTTAAAATACTGACAATACAGAAATCTTTTAATGTTAACAATGTCTTGTATAATCTGAATAAATCATGATACTGAACATTGGGTTATTATTAAGTCTTGTTTTTATGTGACTGCCAATGTGTTCTTCAGACACATTTGTATGAGAGTCACTTTTAACAGTTCACTCCAAAATGTGTACAACCTCTTAACTACCCCACAAATGCAAGTCTTGCTGTGGAATGAGCGTTACTTCTGGGAGAATTCTGTGCCAGTGCGCATGCATGCAGAATTCATGTCCACTACAGATTTCTTTGCTTCCCTGCAGAAAATTTATTTCTGGATAGGAAGCAAAGAGAAGCCTTAGAAAGCTCATGCACCCCTCCTGGTCATCATAGGTGCATCAATTCAGGCCGCTGGGACAGACGTAAATTACTACCAGCAAGGAGAAGGGGGATGGTGCATTGTGAAGGAGGGATACTGTCTCTCTTGCTATCATGATGCTCTTGGCATGGATTGATAGGGCTTCAGGGTATTTGAGAGGCCTGGGCTGGTCCTTTCCCATCAAGAAAAGCAGAATATAACACTGCCTGCTTAGTGAATTTTCCCCAGGAGTATAAAAATGGGTAAAAATTTAAGGCTCCTTTCCATTGCCAGAGTGGTTCAAAGGAGCCTTATTGTAAATGATATGGCCAATTTGAAATGAACAAGAAAAACTGGGCAGTTAGAGCCCACCTGATACCACTTCCCCAGAGAAGCTGAGCAGCTGGGTCCCACTCCCAGCAGGGAATGGGAAGGTAAGAAGCCTGGACAGCCTTCCCCCTGCTGCTGGCATGGAATGGGAAGTCAAGCCCCATGTGGTCCACTGGGAGCCTATGGGATAATGGGCTCCTGACAAGGACATGCCATCAGTGCTGCCCTACTCTTCCCCCTTGGGTCAGTGGAAGCACTCTTGGTGAGGATGTGCTTCACCAACCCAAGAAAGGTAGTGTGGGCAACAGCCACTACAGTGATAAATGAGGTGGCTGCAAGTCAACTGAATGTAAGTTGACTTCTCTTTGTAACATAGCTATAAACTTACTGATTACACCTGGTCTAAATTTTTGGACTGAAATATCTTTGTAGGCTGGACCTGGGCAATGCCAGGTAAGTCTTCTAGTAGCCAATATAAATTGAATTTGATTCCCAAGCTCTCATTTACATTGTAGACAACTAAATACTGAGCATATGGCTGCACGATTTGTTGACTAATAGCTAGACGTGAAGTGTCATACTAGCTACATTACTGTAGGCAGCGGGCATTTATCTGTAATGAACCCACAGTCCCATTGACCATCCATCTTAGTAGACCACCTGCATCATTTCTTCCTCCAAAAGAATGTCAGGTATTCGCTGCAGACACCATGAACTCTGTAATATGGCCCGGAATCCTCAAGCAGACCTCAAGCCTAGCTGCTTTTTTTAGGGCTCTCTCATTGCACTGTTTTCCCATCAGTTTTTAAGTCTAACTGCAAGTTTTTTTATTTTTGATCGACACACTGCAAAGCTTTGCATGGTTTAGGAGTTGGTATCTTTCTCCCTGTACAGCATCAAAGAACAGCAGAGCTCATAGTTATACTCTGTTGACCTTTGGATGGTGCAAGGCATCTTCTTGGTCAAGCACATGCCTAAGTTAAACAAATCAGTATTTTTTTTTTATGGTTGGCTAGGGAGTACAGGGAAGGGAGCTGTTACTCCAAAACATGCCAGCTGGTGAGTCCCCAGCAGATCATCTTCATTTGGGGAGTGCACAAGTGTAGTATGATCTGATAGAGCTCCTCTGTTTCATGTGTAGAGATTGGAACTGGACAGTAGTCAGAGGCCTTTTAGACCAAGGGAATTGTCAGATAAGAGCTGTGTGCTTTCTGCCTTTTTTTTTTTTCCCTGGGCCAGAATGCCACACAGGGGCTAGAATACTGTTCAGTATCTTTTACTGACTGTGACTTTTTTCTGTATTGTAATTTAAATAAATTACTAACTTATAAATCTCACTAGTTTCAATTATTTTGACAAATGAAAATGCAGAATTTTAAATAGCTCTTGTATTAATGAAGCTAATCAAGTCAGGGTGGAAGTGGGTCATTCACAGCACTGGCTGTGGAGATGTGAATATCCAGACAGGGGAAATTGCTTTTGTAATGCATTAACCTGTTGAAATCCTTATTCAATCTTAAATTGATATTGCTGAATTTGCAAATGAATTCCAGTTCGGCTGTCTCTATTTGAAATTCTTTTGTAGAAAGATGGCTACTTTCAAATCCATTACTGAATGTTCAGCGAAGTTAATTTGTTCCCTTACAAAGTTAGGTGTGTTGCCATTCCTGATGTCTGAGTTGCGTTCATTTATCCTTTGGCACAGAGACTATCTGGTTTGGCCAATATACATAACAGAGGTGCATTGCTGACCCTTCATGCAATATCACAAGTGGTTGTGCAGGTGGATGAGCCCCTGCTGATGTGGCTTATGGGGTTAGGTCCCGTGACATCACTTGTATAGATGTGTGGACAGAGTTGGCAATGGAGTTTACTGCAGGGGTAAGTTCCTGGGTAAGTGTTTCTGTGGTGCATCATGTGGCTGCTGGTAAGTTTTTGCAGGTGGAGGAGAGCTGTCTGGAGGCAAGAATTGGCCTATGTCCCAAGGCCTGTGAGAGTGAGGGATCATTTTCCAGGACTGGTTGTAGATTGTCAATGATGTGCTGATAGGATTTAGGCTGGGGGCATTAGGTGGTAATCAGTGGTGTTCTGTTATTTACCTTGTCGGGCCTGTCCTGAGGCAGGTGACTTCTGGGTACTTACCTGGCTCTGTCAGTCTGTTTCTTCACTTCCCCACGGGGCTATTAAAGTTTTTAAAATGCCTGATAGAGATCCTGTAGGTATTTGTCTCTAAGGGATTGGAGCAGGTACAGTTATATTTCAGGGCTTGGCTATAGATAGTGGATCATGCATGTGTCCTGGATAGAAGCTAGAGGCATTTAGGTTAAGAATAGCAGTTAGGTTTCTAGTATAAAATGGTGTTTATATGACTGTCATTTATTTGTACTGTAACGTCCAGGAAGCTGATCTCCATGGAGGTTCAACATTATCAATTTAGAACTGACTCTTGACTGGTTAACGCATTCCAAAGGCAACATCTCCACACCAAATGCTGTGAAATACCCACTTCCATCCTGATTTGATGAGCCTCATTAACACAAACAACTTCTCCCTTTATATACACACCTGCTTCTGTAACTTCTATTAACTGCATCTGATTAAATGAGTTTTACCTACAAAAGCTTATGCCCTAACAAATCTGTTAGTTTCTGCGGTGCCACAGGACTCATTGTTTTTGCAGCTAGACCAGGGGTAAGCAAAAGGGCCTCTGTGGGCTGGATCCAGCCCACCAAGCGGATTGATCCGGCCCATGGAGGCCCTGCCATTCCCCTGCCCCCAGGCCAATTAGGCTCTTGTGCACTCCTGATTGGCCTGCAGATGGAGGAGCAGGGGAAGTCTCTTCCCATTGCCAAGGGCATGGGGGCTCTCCCACCTCTAGACCAATCATGATCTGTGGGTGGCCATGCCCCTTTCAGTGCAGCTTGAAAAAAATTATTGGCCACCCCTGGGATAGACTAACACAGCTACCTCTCTGAGTCTTGAAACATGTGTGAGAGATATGTATGTTAAACAATCCCTTCTGCCTTGTATAATGGGGAGTCGAGAGGGAATGAATACAGGTAGTTTATAGCTGCTTGAATGGTATTTTGAAGAATTGGGTCCAATTGTTTTTGCCACTTAGCTCTGCTCTTTGGTACTTTCTTGATTTTTTTGTTTAGCCTGATTGGTAGCAGCATGCTGCAAACATGCACAGTGTTGTTAAATCAGATACAAGACTAATTCCTGTGCCAATGCTCTTGTCAGCTAATAAAACGCTCTTGGATAGCAAAACAATGGGGCTGCGTCTAGACTGGCAAGTTTTTCCGCAAAAGCAGCTGCTTTTGCGGAAAAACTTGCCAGTCTAGACGCAGCCCCATTGTTTTGCTATCCAAGAGCGTTTTATTAGCTGACAAGAGCATTGGCACAGGAATTAGTCTTGTATCTGATTTAACAACACTGTGCATGTTTGCAGCATGCTGCTACCAATCAGGCTAAACAAAAAAATCAAGAAAGTACCAAAGAGCAGAGCTAAGTGGCAAAAACAATTGGACCCAATTCTTCAAAATACCATTCAAGCAGCTATAAACTACCTGTATTCATTCCCTCTCGACTCCCCATTATACAAGGCAGAAGGGATTGTTTAACATACATATCTCTCACACATGTTTCAAGACTCAGAGAGGTAGCTGTGTTAGTCTATCCCAGGGGTGGCCTATAATAAAATGAGTAGATAGTTTGGCGGATAAGCAATTCAGGGTATAACACTTCAAGCCATCTTACCCTTGGAGACAGCAGATTTGATGAGATCACATAAGGCAGCTTCAGCAAAGAAGGTGGCTTTATTAAGAGGATTGAAAGGGAGAGAAAAGGCTTAACGGGGGCAGGGAGGCTCTTGTAAGCAGCATGGAAAGGCATGAAAGAAATAGTGAGCCAAGATATATCTCTCCATTAAGCTTTGTTAGAGTAAATGCTAGAGCAAAGCACTGCACATTTTTCCGCTTAACTATTAAGTAGGTAGAAGCCCCATTGAGTATAGCTTTCGTGGTATAGCTTATTCTGATTTTGGGAAGCAAAATAAGTTATGGGGGTAAAAGGTAACTTTTACAGAGGTATATATTCCTTTAGACTAGGGCTTACTTATATCTGTTAACATTTCACACCAATTGACAGTTATAGCAAAGTTTTTCCTAGTGTAAACCTGGCCTTAAGACCACCTGTCATGCCATAAAATACATGGAATAATTTAACTTTCCCCTCCTTTTCATTACCAAGACATGAATAGAGAACAGTAGGAGAGCGTTTCCTAAACTATGGGCCGTGACCCAGTACCGGGCTGCGGGAAAAAAATAGCAGGCCTCAGCGTGGCTGAGCAGAGCAGGGCGGGCTGGGAGAAGGTTTTTGTGTGTGGGGGAAACAGGCTGCTGGGAAGCAGGGTTGTCCCGTGG